CACTTCGAGCGATAGAATTATTAACAAAGCACTTATATACTAATAAAGGACTGGCTTATCTAAAGCCAGTTGAGTAGCACTTGAAATATTTTAGCTCTATGAAACCTGATGTACTTATATGATTCTGTTTTCTTCAAGTTTGTATTTTGTTGGTCGAACGCACTTATTGTAAGTCGCTTTGGATAAAAGCGTCAGCTAAATGCAATGTAATGGACTTATTTTACAGGTGGATATGACCTTGATCCTTTCTGGTGACCTCGAAATTGCCCGTTGTGTATACTTGCGTGTTTGTGTAACTAAGAATATAATAAATATTCAAGCCAACATGATGCGATGCTTAACAGTTTCAGGAACATTCTGAATTTTCTCACATCTCAATTCCAATGTTCTCCTTAGGTTTTAGAAATCTCCATGTGGACGACCAAATGACTGTCATTCAGCATTCTTGGATGGGGGTGATGGTGTTTGCCCTGGGATGGAGGTCCTATAAGAACGTCAACGGCAGGATGCTTTACTTCGCCCCGGATCTCGTGTTCAATGAGTATGTACACGTTTGATTTATTCAGTTAAATGACAGTGTCTGAATTTTTTTTTTATCTGGTTGTGAGTAACATGCTGCGCTCCTCATCATATTAAGACATCTCCTTCAGTGAGTGAGCCTGTGCCTTCGTACCGCCACTGTGGTACACAATAGAGTTCTTCACCACTTTTTCTCCCCCATCTTCCTCTCATTTGCTTTCCTACTCATGCTCAAACACAAAGACATCTCTAGAATTTTCTGAATGTGAAGTAGAAATTGTTGCAGGCTTTTTAGGACCCTGTTCATCCAATTTCCTCCTTAGGTGTTCTTCTGTTACAGTGAGATTAAAGGGAGGAACATTAGTCTCCAGCATTCAAACTCTCACAGCACTGGTGAAGCTGATTCAATTCTGAATATTACCCCTGACAGAAAACAGTGCTCAGGTTTGACTGAGTGTAAGTGAGGAATATTAATGGATAGCAGTCAGTCTTTAGTTTGGATTTAGTTGTAATGAATCTAAAAGGCAGAAATATATTCAGACATAATCATCAAGATGCAATTATTTTCTCTTTTTAAATTACAACTTATATAGTTACCATATGTCTGACTTAGTTACCTTAATGTTTTTGTAAATATACTGTAACAGAGGAGGAAGAAATTGTGTTTTTTAGTATAATTTTAGTTTTGCTTAGTTCAGTACCATCTCACTGATATGCTTATTTTTAATTAAAGGGTGATTCTAGTGATTTAGTATGGTACTCCCATAAAGTTGGCAGACGCTAAGACACAGCAGCATTCCTGGCTTTCAATCCTTACATCCAAACACTGAACCTCAAATTATTTCCCGCAAATCCCCTATATGGTATTTTCCATGAAACCCTTCAGTCAGTGACGGCAGTGGCTCAGTCAGTAGGGGCTATTAAAGAGGGTTTCATCCTCAAATTCTATCTCTGATCACATTATTTATGCACATGTTTGACTGAGGTACACTTAGCAATACTAAATTGTAAAAATAATATATACTATATAACAAGTAAAAGTACAAAAGTATTGGCATCAAAATATACTTAGGTGCCACAAGTAAAAGTACTCATTATGCACTAGGACCCATTTCAGAATTGTATTTATTTAATAACTGGTTTATGATTATTAATGTTTTAGAGTGTTTTTCCCACAGCTGGTTAATTTAGAGCTAATTTGAATTGCTTTGTATTATGCTGCTGGTTGTTTTAACTTTATCAAAGTCATTTAATAATTGATTAATATTTTTGTATTAGTTTATAATCTAACATGCGTCTCCAAACCCCAAATAACACAGATGAAATCACTTTGACATCATTATGGTTATTGTGCCAGACCTTTTAAAGCTCTTTCCACATGCATTACTCTCTGTGGTCAGTGTTCGGTTTTACTCCCACCAAAAGGGTTGGACAACACGGGGCGTAACCACTCAGCTTTAGTTTAGGATTTATGCTTTATGTTAGTTTTAAAGTTGACTTCCTCCATACAAAGTTAGGTTATCAACCTAAGAGAAAACACACAATACACAAATTACATAAAACATACACCACGAAAGTCTGTCACCATAAACACATATTTAAAGAGCAACTTGCAGGTTAGAGACACCAGTGAATAAATGTGTAGGAAAAGGATGAATACACTAGATTTTCCCAAAAATATACAGAAATATACACTACAGTGACATCTGGCGTCGTTTTAGTAAGACATTTTCACTTCCGCATAAAAAAGCCTCCGCACGTGACCTCCCGCGTGTGACGTAACATGGGGGAAATAAGGGGGAGAGCGGCCGGTCTAACGTATGAATAAACATGGATCACAATGCTAGTTTTATACACAGAAGAGGTTGAAAATATATATTCGAATGCATATGATTATAATTATGAGCCTGCTAGGCGTCCAAGAGACCAGGAGCAGCCAAGGATTAGAAAAAATAACGGCCATCGGAGAGAAATGGAGCTTTGGTGTGTGGAGAACCAGTGGAGAACAGAGCAGCTGTCTTGGTGAGTGACCGGCGTTAGCATGTTAGTTAACGTCACATCACAACATTGTAAAGTTAGCAATCATATATCAGGCTATAACTAAAGTAGTACTGATAATATAGTAACGTTACTGGCAGGACTGTTGATACTGATCCATAACAGAAACTAATGCGCGAGTATCAGCCGTATCTCGCGTTACCTAATGCAACTCCACACTACGTCTTACGGTGCTGTGTACCCGGAGGGGGAGAGA